CTGTAACTCGCAATCAATCACGGCCCCGTTGGGACTCAACCAATCCATGCCCACTATAACCTTATTTCCTCGTAGGGGAATAGGGACCAAATCCACCAAAAACTGCTCGTCAAACAACTAAAGAGAACATCCTCGATGTACTCTGGCAACCCTCACGGTCCTATCATCCGCTATCTCAACCTCTAGTGGACAATCCAGCTCCCCAGGAGCTCTACTAAATCTCTTGCTAAGCGCTAGCGATATAAACGATCGGGTAGCCCCCGAATCAAATAATACTATAGCAGAGATGCCGTTCACAGAGAACGACCCCGTCACCACATCTGGAGTCGCTCGCGCCTCCTCTACTGTCAACTGAAAAGCTCGGATCCTAGCCACTGGTGTCTCTGCTCGTCCCTGACGGCAATCTGTAATCCTCAAAGTAGCAGGGGCAGGTGCAACCACCTTCCCTGCTACAACTAAACTTGGACACTGGGACTTTTTATGTCCTCTCTAATTGCACTGAAAGCAAATCAGATCTGATGTTGCAACAGCAGTAGCAGGGGCCGTGCAATCTCTGCTCAAATGCCCAGTCCGACCGCACTTGTAGCAGCCGGAACTCCCTGCCTTGCACGTTCCCTCGTGCAATCTCCCACACTTGCCACATCGACCATGGCTCTGCTGACTCCTGGACCTGTGATCCGATACCTTGGGCTTTTTTCCCGAACCTCCTGAACCCGAAACCGCCTCCGGTTTCCTCTTCTTCTCCATCTCTAGGTCAATCTCCCTCTCCCGAGCTCTAGCAATCATGTCATCCAGCGTTTTACAGCTGGACCGGCTCACAAACATGCGGATATCACTCCGCAACATCTCATGATAACGGACCTTCTTCATCTCCTCATCGACTGCATACTGAGGAACAAGAAGAGCCCTCTCCTTAAACTTGGTGGTGATCTCCGCCACGGTCTCTGTAGTCTGGGTGAGGTCCTGAAACTCTCGGGCTAACTGTTGTACCTCAATAACTGGTGCAAACTATGCCCTGAACTAGGTAGAGAAATCGGCCCAGGTCATGGCATCTAACGTTGCATCATCTCCAATGGTATGACCGACCACCTCCCACCAATCCCGTGCCCTGTCCTTCAGAAGACAGGACGCCAATCTAACCTTGTCCCCCTCGGGACACCTGCTAGTGCGGAATGCGTTGGCCACATCCGCCAACCATCTCGTGCTCGCTATGGGGTCCCGCGCCCCATGGTAGTCTGGAGCTCCACATGCCCTGAACTCCCTGAACGTAAGTGTGCGCGACCCCATCATGGCCTGCCATCTCGGCACGGAAAATGCCCAATCTCTCATCCATCAGCTCTAAAATACCCTCCTTGATTGAACCGAAGATCACAGGAGTCTGCTCCAGTATGATGCGGGTAACCTTAGAAGAAAGGAACTCCCTGGTCTGCTCATCCATCTACCCGGCCTCCGGGCCTGATCCTGATCCTGATCCCCCTCCGGCATCTGAACTGCTGACTGCTGGTCTCGAACGCAAAACTACCATTTTGAAACATATCATAACAACATCAGAAAACTGAAATATCTCAAGGGATCATGATACTACTACTAGCTTCCTGGTCTTGTCTTGGCCTTCCTTGATTCGAGTACGGATCCTCTGCTTTCAGTAGTACGGGCCCATACTACCTTCCACATCTATCCGTACTTTCCTCAAGAACTGCCTTGACTCCACCAAGTCACTTCTACTACTGCTGCTCTCTGCTACTCTCATCCTAGGCTTGCCCTAGGGAAATCTTGACTCTGCTCAAAACAGTCATCAGCTACTGAAGGCCTCCTTGAAATGCTAATTAGCCATCACCTGAATACCATCACATGTGATGAGGCTCGGATAATCCTTCAAGTAAAAGGCTCGTCCCTACAACGGTAAGACTCAAACAAGAGCTGCGCAGTAGGGCTAAATCCAACACTCTGAGATTATTCAACCCTGATCACATGTGACGTGACGTATTCACCTAACGGCTAACTCTCATTACAAAGAGTTCTACAAAGCACGAAGAAAGCAGCATTCGGACACCGGAAATTACCCAAGCAATCCTACTCTCATAACGAGAAACCGATCTGGCATACAATGCTTAACTCGCGCTACCATGCATAACCTAAATAGGCTATCCTACTGTTGTCTACTCGTTTCTAGCATGCAATCCTCATAAAGCTAAACACATATAACAGGCACATAAGGCATCCTCCTAGATCCTTAGTCCTATACTAGCATGTTGTTCTACTGAAACTGGAACAATTATTCATAATTATAAAACTTGTATGGGTAATTTGGGAGTACTTACTTGAGCTCGGCTGATCACATGCACCACACCCTTATCTTGTTTAAAACTTCTTTTCTTTCTAAGTGCTTTTTTTTAATTTCATTCGAAAACATTTTTCCTTTTTGAAAATCTTTTTATCTCTCCCTTAGTTTGAGTTCAGATACATCCGGGGTGCATCCGAATCCCTCAAACCAAGGCTCTGATACCAACTTGTAACATCCCAAAAGAAATGACCCAAAATTTTTTTTTTTAAATAATTACTAAAAACACCATAATAAAATCATAAGGTAAACTCGTACGTCAATATATCACCAATAATAATAAAGTGTTATAACTAAACTGAATCAAGAATGTATTAGTCACATCTATGAAAAACAAAACAACTCCCAGGACAAATGATGCTGTGGTGTGTGTGGGCGATGCCATCAACTCGAGCTCTTCCCTTTGCTTGCGGAAGTACTTGAAACCAAAACTAAAACTGTAAGCACAAAGCTTAGTGAGCTCCCCCAAACTACCACATACCAAATAATACATATAATCACATACTGGGCCTTGCCCACTGCATCGGACCGAAGTCCGGAAACTGCATCGGACCAAAGTCCGGAACTACCCAGGGCCTTGCCCTCTGCATCGGATCGGGATCCGGAACTACTGAGGCCTTGCCTCCTGCATCGGACCAAAGTCCGGAACTACTGCATCGGACCGAAGTCCGGAACTGACTGCATCGGACAGAAGTCCGGAACATACTGAACATAGCATCACATAAGCATATCAACTAACATGAGTACATACATAGCATACTACATCGGGATGTAACCCGGAACACATAACACCAAATACTGTCCGAGCCACGAAGGCATCAAACATACTAAAATCTGCATCGAACCGAAGTCCGGATACTACTGCTAGCTAAACGGGCCGGCATTGTGGCCTTAGACCCGTTCCTACTGAAGGGAAACTCACCTCGTGATCTGGCTGCTGAGTGTGTGGCTTCGGGAACTATCTGTTGCTGCTCCGGTATCTCCCCGGCTACAAATCCACAATTACACTCAATCAAATTATTAATAACTGTATTGGGGTAAATGACTCCTTTTCCCCTGGCTAAAGTCAACTCTCCTGGTCAAAGTCAACTTTACAGTTGACCTGACTCGCCGAGTTAGTCTGCCAACTCGCCGAGTCCCTACTCTCATTACTCACCCTACTCGCCACTACTCGTCGAGTATGGCATCAACTCGACGAGTTCCCTTTCGAATCTAAAACCTCAGGCAATCTGCATCAGACTCGTCGAGCCGTATGAACAACTCGACGAGTTGTTCTTCGAGCTAAGAAGATTGCCTTGGACTCGCCGAGTTGTATGAACAACTCGCCGAGTCCCTCCATTACTGAGTCTAACCACAACTCACTGAGTCCACTCCATCACTCACTGGTCTCACTCGGCATCACTCAAAAAGGGAAAAATCGGGGACTCGCGGCTCGACTCGCCGAGTCGCTTGCATGCAGCAACTCAAAACTTGATTCTGCTTGAATCCAGTGCATAAAACTTATAGATCTGGACTCCCTTAACTCGATTAGCACGTAAAGATTCTATCTTTACGTGCCCATATGCATTCATGAAGATAAAATAGCTCAAAAAGCATAATAAAGGCTAGATCTAGGGTTTCCATGCAAAGTATCTTCATAAAGGCAATAGATCTGGGCTCTGAAACTTCTAATGAATAGATCTAAGGATATCTCGACTTATTAGGGCATTCATACAATCATAAGGCTTGGGAAAAGCATCAACTAGATCTAGAAGAGTTCTAATGGAGGTTTAAAGCATAAAACAAGAGGGAAATCCGAAGAATACCTCAAATAACTCTGATTTGCCCTTGGATCTTTGCACTACTCCTGAACTCCTTGCTCCTTTCTTCTTCTCCTTCTTCAAGCCTTCACAAATCAACACAAGAACACTTAGATCACTCAAGGATGGATTAGGGTTTTCTCACAACGTTCTGAGGGTGAAGGAGGCGAGAATGGGGGCTATAAGGTGGATTAAATAGTGAGCAACCCGAAGATTTAGGGTTTCAACCTGGCAGGCCGACTCGTCGAGTCCCGAATATGGACTCGCCGAGTCGCCGATCTATACGCTGATCAACAACGCGACCCTACTCGACGAGTCGGGACATAGACTCGCCGAGTTCCTCCATGAACTTCAAAAATAAATACTAAAAACCACATACCAGGGACGGGTCGTTACACCCCGCCCCGTCCACGCCCTTGATTTTTTTAAAAAATTCTCCTAAACGGGATGCAGCCCCCACAGGAACGGGGTCCCACGAAACTTTTTGATATCCCTAAAAATAACAGTGAACTTTGCATATTAAGCGATCGTGAGATTGATGCATATAATACTTCAATGTCACAATATCCGTGATTTGGTTTGATCATGATCATTTGCATTTACTATGAACTATATTTTGTTTTTATTTGCATTTACTATGAACTATATTTTGTTTTGGTATTGTAGTTTACTAGTTTATGTATTTCTTATGTATTGAATTAATCTAAAACTTGTAGTTATGGTTTTTTTATAATGTTCGAATGTGTGGACGTCAATTTAAACAAAAGTTATGAAAATTGGATTGAGCCGGTGGTTGAACCGATTACCCATGACCCGATCGTTACAACGAGAAAACCAAATACCAGGTTTTAATACATCGACTAATTGTCTCCCCATGAGAACTTTGTAATAAGACCATATCGAGTAATAAGGCCATATTGAGCACCGAGGCCTTGAGTGTCGTCGGAGTTCACACCATATAAAGCACGGAGCCCTTGAATGTCATCCGAGGTCAAACCTTTCGTGACCCCAGTGCTGAAACTAGACCACATTATCGCTGTTTGAAACTGGCTATGACCAAGCCCTAGAAGGTGCCCTATTTCATGTAAAGCCACGGTCTCCAAATCGAAAGCATCTTCTACTGCTCCAATCACCCAATTTTCATCCGCATCAAAATGGAGTCTTCCATCTGTAGGTGGAAATGCATGGGCCAACACTTCACCAGATCCGTTAAATGGATACCCATCACCATGGTCTCCACGTTCAAAACTAATCTTTAGGTCAGCACCTTGATAACTTCCTGCTCTTGAAAACGTGAAGTATCTAGAAGAAGCAGTAGCCCATTTTCCAAAAGCTCGATCAACAGCAGGCATGAATTGGGTTGGGAAACTTGGTCCAAAACCATAAGTTAGCTGACCATGGGGCCATTTTGGTGTTCGTGGATAGAATGTGTAATGGGGGTGTAAAGAGTTATAGGTGCGCTCGTGAATTACTTTATCAGGGCACCCACATCGAGGCATCATCATCTGGGACATCGTTGGCTTATCAAGCGTCCCTGTGACATTCAGATGGTAATAGACCTGGTACGACTTGATGGCTACCTCAAGCTCCTCATCCAAATCATCGTCTTCAATATCTGTGAGATTAAGGTTCTTTTGGTAGTTTAGGTATCCGAAATGAGCAAGATAGAGTTTGACGTCACGAATGCTCTTCACTGTGTCGCCCTTACCCGATGACTCGTTTGGTCGTAAATGAGGGTCCTGAAGATGCCAATGAACAGCTAGTATAATGGAAGCAAGAAAGAGGATACATGAAAAGGGAAGAAAGAAATTAGACGCCATTCAAATAAGGTTCATAGTCGTCATCTCTGCTTAATATTTATAGTGATTTTCTCATGTGTTATTATTAAGTTATTTATTATTCATTTTTAGAGCCGAGTAAATTACACGGATAATCTAGGGGACCAAATGTGCAAATTACTCCAAACCATAGAGATCATCTATGAGGTTTTTTTGAAATTATGGATTAAATTTGATATTTTTGAAAACCACAGGGATTATTTTTGAAGTTGTGTCTCTTTTTAACTTGGAAAGTCTCTATTGTTTATTTTTACTACACGTTTAATCCCTACTTTTTATTTTTGTTATACACTTAGTCTTTGTCTTACCTAAAAAACATATTATATAAATAGACAAAATTCTGGGATGGGTAAGGTAAGGTGAGGGGGTGGGGTGGGATTGGGGTGTGTTTATTTAAATAAATTAAAAAATCAATGGTAAAATAATCTTTTTAGGTGAGACAAGGGATTAAACACGTAACAAAAACAAACAACAACGACCTTCGAAGTTAAAAAAATAAATTAGAGATCAAACGTGCAAAGACCATTCGTGTAATTTACTCTTTAGGGCCATGAAAATTCTTGACGCGTGGGGTATGTTGATCTTGTATATTTTTAAAATTTGTGATTCTAGTTAGGTCTTCGGTCTTCCATTGACTTCACCGAAATAACGTTTTGTGTATATTTCCAATTCTATTTGTCTTTTATACAATTTCCAATTCTAGGTTATCTATTTATCGATTATAAAATATTGATCAACTAGAAGTTTTTTTCGCCGTTGCAAGGGGGCAAGGGGTGGATGGTGTTGTTTTCGTGGGTCTTTCATTAATTTCACCTTTATATAAAAAATTTAGTAACATGGCTCTGGATAAGTTCCAAAAATTGAAAATAAAAACTATGAAATACCATATATGATATTGTTTCGGAGCTTGCATCCTTGGTTTTGCCTAAAAATGAATGTAAACATTTAATGGGCTCAAATATCCATTTTGGGCTTTTTGAAATCTCCATTTTTTTTTTTTGAGGAAGATCCATTAACATCTGAAATATTGCAGTGGGGATCCTGACCTTGGTTTTCATTCTTCTAACTTTTTTAGTGGATGAAACGGGTTAACATTTTTTCAATAGCTTTCAACCTGAGGATGCATAAGATGGGTCTCCTTAAATCTCCAAAACAGAAATCACCAAAAACTGCACATAAAAGAAAAAACGGTTAACTAATTCTAACATATCCAAACATAATCAAGAAGAGAATTACAAATTTGATGGGAAAGAAATGACTACAACCGTTACAAGTATGATAAAAGGACTCACCTGAAGATATTGAAGCCATTTAGAAGGCTCCAAAAACTGTTCGAACAGTAAAAACAAACCATACAACAACAAAAACATAAGAAAAAATTAGAGCAACTTGAAATAAATGATGCCGATAAAGGAATAAGACACGAAAAGCAAATAAACGACAGATAGAACAACATAACTCAGTTTCTCACACAAATAATTGCTGTAGGGAAGCTTTCTTAAGTTGTTGGTTTATTTTGATTGGTGGTTAACTTTGGTTCGTAGTTTTAAATTAGAGATAAGGAAATAGATAATATCCAGTGATCATAAGGACAAAAAAATAAAAGAAAAACCGATGCTTGAAAACCAAAAGGCAAAAAGTAGACCCAATGAATTCAATGGAAGCATGCTGCTATTATACCAAACAAAAAACCACAAGAAAGGCTGATCATGTTTTCAATTCGTGAGGTACCTACAATTAATTTTTTTTCTTTGGGTAGTTTTTCATAAGATGGATTCGAAATCGAATGAGCCATTCTTGAAGGAATTGAATGGTATACATTCCATTAGATTTAATAAATAAAACATGTATGTTTTGTGTTAACTCAATGGGTGGGGCCAATGTGTAAGGAATATGATTCCAAGGTGAGTTAGATTTTATCGCAAGATGAGTAACTTTTTAAGGTTTCACCGTTCCTTTTTTCTATCAAGTGTTAAACATCAAAAAATTATGTTATGACCTTAATAACTTTCGATTTTTTTGTCTTTGTTCTTTAAAGGGTAAATTGACTAGAGCAACCCATTGATGAGAATGAGGTATGAAGTAGCAGGCTAGGAAGGATGTTGTATGATCTACGCAATTGGTTTTCCTTAAACCAGCTGCTTAACAATATGAGGAAAAATGACAAACAATTGGCATGCATGTTATCCATATTCCAAAACAACAACTAAAGAAACATGAGGAGATATAACAAACAGATGATATGCTTCATACACAACCACAGAAGAAGAACGTAATCTCATTTCATATAAATCACTACAAAACAGTTAAAAAAAAACGTATATATTGTGTTTAATAGAAATAGTACAAGAATCTTTGGATGCAAAAGGGTTTTGAACATTGATTGGGTGAAGACGTCCAACTCCAATCTTTTTCATTCAAAGCCCCTCTTGCTGATTGCATAAAACACTTTCCCATCTTTTGCAAGAGAAAATCATTGAGAATTAATATATATATATATATATATATATATATATATATATATATATATATATATATATATATATATATATATATATATATATATATATATATATATATATATATATATATATATATATATATAGGGGATGGTTTCCTTGAGATTAAAAAAAAATTAAAGATCTTGAGATTGAACCTCAGCCATGTATTTCTTACTTATCGCTCTAACGCTCCAACATACCTGCAGCAGCGGACTATGGCTAATCATAAATGATTATATGGCAGAGAGGTAGAATCACATATGATTATGCATGTTTATACATATATGTTTAATCATAAATGATTATACATATATGTTTGTTCACAGACTGAGTAATCATATATGATTACGACAGTTGGCAGTAGAAAAGGTGGTGGTGACAAAGATAGCGGTGGTATAAGTAACGGAGGTGATAGTGGTGGAGTCGGCTGGTGTCAGAGGTGGTGGTAGGGGTGGTGGCGGTGGCGGTGGCAGTTATGGTGGTGGGGATGGTGGCGGAGGATAAAGGAATGGGTGGCGCTGTGTAATTGTTTATGATTATTCCAGACCTGCCGCGCCAGTACGCCGGAAGGTTATTGCGGCAGATATGAAATACGTGACTGAGGTTGAATCTCGAGATCTCTATTTTATTTTTAATCTCAACGGAACCTACCTATATATATATATATATATATATATATATATATATATATATATATATATATATATATATATATATATATATATATATATATATATATGAGAAAAGTGAATATGTGGCTCTTATGTACCTAAGATTAGGTATAAAACCTTGTAAACGACGTAGTTTTAAATAAAACAAATTCAATTTTATTTTCTCTTAATTTTGTTTTAATAAAATATCATTGAATTGTGTTAAATTATGGAATTAAAAAGATGAATTATATATTTTTTTATTGCAAAGAATTCTTGAAGTTTATAAGGAATGTAAAAAACAAATATTTTTTAACGCATATAACTCAAACGTTTTTTTCTTCAATTGAACAACTATATCTAATGATTTTGTGAAAATATTGATTTAGTTATTGTATGTTATTCTTTTATCCTTTATTCTATTAGTTTTTATTAATTTAGTAGGGTTGATTAAATCGTCATGACTTTCATGCTTTAAGTTCCTAAACACAATGAAAAACAAGAACATAATTTCGATCGGTTTAGTAAATCACGTGATTAAGGAATAATACTAAACGAGATATCATGATTTGTTTTGATATATATGGATCAAAACCATATAGTTTAGAGGGTTCTATATATAAATTTAGGTATATAACAACCACATATTCTCTAAGCCCATATATATATATATATATATATATATATATATATATATATATATATATATATAACTATATATATATATATATATATATATATATATATATATATATATAATTGCAATAAAACCTTTACGTATTGTATTCATAATTGATTTGGTCTCTATATATTTTTTTTATTCAATTAAGTCTTAAAAAACAGTAATCGTATTCAATTTAGTCTTTTGACCCGGTCAACAGTTTATCCAACTTTTAAAAATTACATTTTTTGCCCAGATTTCAAAATTTATTACAAATTTGGTCAAAAATTTACATTTTTTGCCTAAATTTTAAATTTTATTACAAATTTGGTCCAAAATTTACCCTTTTTGTCCAAGTTTTTAGAATTTTGTTATGAATTCATCCTAACTTCGGTTTTTTACAACTTTTTTCACAAAAAAAATTGAATATGTTTTTTCTTTATAATATTATATTTATATTAAAAAAAACATATTTTCCCATAAAAAATCTTATATTTTCTATATAAAACCTTTTTTTTTAGTTTTTTTTGTATACGAAATACCTATTTATAAAATTAGGTATTTATTTGTCGTGTAGATGGTTTCATGCATTTTCTCATATAGAGCATTGTAGCAATTTTTATGAAAACAATTTAAATCAATTGATTGAATCTATTTATATATGAAAATTCTTTTGAGTTTGCAATTTAGTTTTTTATATTAATTACAGATAACTATTGAGAATAAATAATTAAGAAAAACTATTTTAAGTTTTGAAAACTAGTTTATTTAAATATAACTTTATTTAACAGTAAATATTTTATTCAAACCTTCTTTGGAAATATCTACAAACCTTTTATCTATTAAAAGCAAAATAAATAAATAAATAAATAAACACAATTATAGAAATACTTATACATTTCAAGATCAATGATACATTTTGCACGGGGAAAGAAACATTCAAATGGTTTTACATAGTTAAAACTACATATTACTATTTTAAGTATAGAAATACTTATATATTTCGGTCTTAGGGTTTCTAATACTACAACGCATTTTCAAGATCAATAATACATTTGGTTTACAAGGGAACAAACATTCAAATGGTTTTATATAGATTAAAACTACATATTACTATCTTAAGTATAGAATTAATTATACATTTTGGTCTTAGGGTTTCTAAGATTACAA